ATGAAATTTATCGTGACAGTGATAAATATAATCATATTGACCACCCCTTATTATTGTGATACTAGCTTTTGCAATACTGACACAGAAGGCTGCAATACACAGACATGCCCACTGTTTCTTCTTTGTTCTGTGAGCATCTTCTTGACCAATTACAGCTCCAGGCGAGCACTTCTGTGGCTGTAGATAACTCAAGGTATTCATGGAATTTAATGAAAGAACATTTTTATGGTCAAAATACTCCAGGCCAGTCTTTAATCAAGTCACATTATTGATTCAATAGCAACATATCACAATACTAATACCCTCTCCACAGTGCACAGATTGCAGAGTCTGACTGAACGGTAGCTCAACTCCTTGGCTTGAAAGCATATCTGCATGGAAGTCTTGGGGCTACATCTTTCGCATTTCAGCATTTATCTCCAGGCACTGGCCTCCAAATCGACCAGGGTGTTGAGTTAATTTAGCTAAATCTAGTCTTTTTGTTAGAATTCTAAGATAGATAGTTTACTACGACGCCAGATCCTCTGAGCTAAGCTCCAGAAGTCCTTGACAAGAAGTCGTCTGCCTCTGAACTTGTTGATGGTTTCTCACAAAGGAGGATTTTCCAGCACGCTGAAAATGAGCCCATTTGCATGTGCTCTCCTAGTGGTAATAACAGCGCACCAAATGGCAAGTATTATCTTTATGTCACTTCAGACTGACGTAGCACTCAAGGGCAAAATTGCCAAATCCTTCCATTCTGGCAGTTTAAGCACCTTCAGAGGAGCCTCGCTGATGAATAAGCCCACCATCTGCAAAGGCGCACAGGCGTCGCTCGGTAATTACACCACAGTTCACCAGCGCGTTAACCACAATTATGCAATCAGCGCCTCACCGAGGCAAACAAACACCCCCAGGACCGCTCTTTTCTGAGCCCACCACAGCTCCTCACACTGCGGTTACGGATCAATGCAAGCCTTGAAAAGGGGGGAAGAAAATGAAGCTCTAGGGCTCTTGAAAAAGACTTCAGAATGGATCTGTAGCAGAGGCCAGATGTGCTTATGCAGAAGTATTTTGACAGTTTGCAAACTAAACAGAAGTGTACAATTTTATTCCTTTGGAAACAAGGAGGTTTATATCAGAAACAGAATCAGTTTGCCAGGTATGTTACACACAGAAAGAATAGGTCTTGGTGAGTGTACACATTACAAACCAGATGCATGCAAGATTATTAACAAATATTAAATAGATAATATGACAAAATAATAATAAAATAACTTACATTGTTATTATTAACTTATACAGTGCAGATTAAAATGTTATAACCTAGACAACCAAATGTAAACTAACGATGTGTTCACAATTTAGAGTATTTTGGGAACAACTAGAAGTTATAACATGGTAAAAACAATAGTGAATGTTATTAAATAATAAACTGTTATTATCTATTTTCAGTAATTTCTTGTCACAAAATTAGTATGATCAGTGAGATCTGGTCACTGCTTTTCAAACATGAGGCATGTTCATTTTAATTAGTATATCGCTGCTGTCGGAACAAAACCTCATAACTCCAGAATGTTCACTTTACAGGAGAAAGAAAAAACCTACTCGACTTTTAATGTAAGTCAATGGAACCAGACATTTTTCCAAGTAATTTTGGCCCATTTCTTTTGGTCCATTCATCATGACATTAACACACAATGTAAAGGAAACAAGCATTTTCAATTTATGTCAAAAACTGAAAAACAGCAAAAATGGAGATACGAGGTTTTGTTCCTCCAGCAGTGATATTCATGATGCTACACAGCTTCAGTTATTATGGAATCATCTACAGCACCATTACATCTTCCTAGCTTGTTTGAATAATGCCATCATATTACAATAATTTGCAACAAAGTGGTTTTATATCATTAATAGTGATTCAACACTTTTGAACAGTAGTGTACACATGTGCGGGGTCTGAGGAGACATCTAAACCAGTATCATTTACAACATAATGATACTGAATGAGTGATATCAAGATCTGCACAGTGATTTATGCATGAATTTAACATTTTAGCAGTCATCACTCACACTACACATAAACAGCATGACATATTTGCAAGTAACTGCGCAGTTGACTGACTGCAAGATTGATCACTTGTACTTGTTCTTGTATTTAGTAAAGGAAAAATGACACGCTACCATGTGTTTACACTGAAACTGTCTCCAGACAAGACAAATGCTTTTCTTCAACCTTCTCATTAATGACAATGAAACTCTTGATGACTCCTGTTTCCTCCAGCAAAATAGTTCATCACATTGTACAGCTATTGATTCACATATTCAGATTTTCATTCAAAGGAAGTTTGCATTTATATCTGCTGTAAAGAATAATGGAGTTAAGGGTTATTGCAGGCTGTACTGTCTTTCTAAAGACATGTAACATATATCTTTTTCAGCTCGTGTACTGTATTTCAGCATGCCCTGTACCGTGGACAATGACCTTGACCAGCCAGACAAAGCGAATATGCTCTCACCTTCTTGCCTCATTTGCTTCGGTATAGATTTCCATGAATGTATTCCTTTTAAACTCAACCTTCTATGGCTTCAGGCCAATGAAAATACAAGGAGAGCGAAACAGTCAAACACAGTATGTAATGCACTGTAATACACCTGAATAACAGGCCTGAAGCACTCGGGCAGATTTTTTTGCTTACAGAGGTTGAATGAAAAAGTAGATGTGAAAATCATAAAAAGCTGGAAATCTGCTTCCTGTAAGGGAATCATCTAACATCTACTGTATAGCACTATAATCTAGATAACCACTGATATTTCAAGCTCACGTTAGACCACCAGTACACCTCAGAGAATGAACCTAAGATGTTTCAGTGACATAGAAAAAGACTTGAGAGAGACTTATCACATAATGTTCTGCTGTAGTGTAGATGCTATGAAAAACTTTTTAGGGGGTCTTGCTTTTTATGCTATATTGAAATCCATATTATCTGTCCTGTATGCTTTCTAGGAATTGCACACCTAACATCATTAAGTGTTATGATGATTAGGTCAAAACAGTGTAAAATGCAAATGTGTTTCCTATATGTACTGAAGTGACATTGAATTGACCTGATCTATATATGTCCATCATTTTCATATAACTATTAAAATGTCTTTCAGTTGGCTTACTTTTGACAACAACTGTGTATATGTAATATATATCATCCCCACAGATATAATCACAACTAAATCAAGTCAATTCAATGCATCACTTCTTTTTCATTTTTTTTGTCTGCTTTAAAAGTTTCAGTTACAACACTGATGAAATCCACTTGTACCAAGCAGCACCGTATTCACGGCTAGAGGGAACACCCCGCTGCTATCACGGGGCACTTGCTCCAAATCAGTTAGGCACGCAGCCACGATTTTGCAGAGCAGGCCTGCAAGCCTCCTTTCTCCAACTGCATTGGCCAAAACAATGTGGTGGGCTATCATTTACCACAGCTTGATCTGTATTTTCACATCAAGACTGCGACACAGGAGAGGAGACAGGCCACAATACCCACCACCTAGCAGTGCTGGCGGTTGACCTTCTGCCTCATCCATAAACAAACCTCTCTTGTTTCCCCTCCAAGGCACACACATATACAAAAAAAAGCTAGAAGAGATGGAAAGAGGACAGCTTACATGCCCTGCGCTGCTGGGAAAAGGTGAGGCAGCCAAGCAGCTGAGCAGTGGTCTTCACGGGCCTTGCTTTTTTATTACTGTGTACTGACACATTAGCTGACCCCAGAATAGCTGGGAAAGTCCAAAAATGAATACAACTTCCTGAGCTCACTGTCAATAAGAAGAGAATGGGAAGCATGTTACGCACATGTGCTCATCCCTCTATCTATGAATGGAATGCAACTATGCCAAATGAGATTTGTTAAATAAGTGCGCTGCACTTGCTTCATTAAAGCAAAGTTATTCCAATAATCTTGTATCTTGTCTCACTTGATTCAATGTTAATTTTAACTTTGGGGTCAGGTGAAGTTGTACACATCAAGGGCACATAAATAACACATCCCCTACGTCTGGATTTAGCTGGTACGTGAGTGGCACTGCCAGACAAAGCGAATTAAGACTAATGAGGGAAAATAATTACTGTTTGACCTCGGCGTCACCCTTAAGCTAGACTCTAGTGCCATCTATTGAAGAACACAACCATAAATCACTTTATCTCCTGCAACAATGAACTCATCTCCTCCCCGAACGGACGCATTGTTGAATTCTGCATTCTACTGGTGCGTAAAAAAAAGTCTATAAATCAAACTAGCATTGCCTTTTCTTTCTCCACAGCTCTGATCACTGCATCCTGTTCACATTCATCCCAGCGTGGTATGTGGGCGGCTTTAAAACATTCATTATGTCTGGCTGTATGATGATTTGTTCTGCACTACGCTTCCACTGCATACACAAACGCTCCCTTTAGCTACAGCTACACTCTTTAAAAAAGAAAAAAGATGGTTCTGCAAGGGTTCTTTAGTGAAGGGAATGGTTCTACTTAGAACCATGAGTTTTGTACAGACCCATCTGCATGCTTCTTCTTGATATAAAATGTGTTTTATATGGTTCTAAACAGAACCTTTTTGAAGGTAGTTCTACATAGCACCAAAAAGGGTCTAGCTTGTAAAAATAGAAGAACCCTTTTTTGCTGCTATATAGAAGCATGCTCTAGAAGGTTCTACTTAGAACCATATATAACACATTCTCCATCAACCTGATCAACCATTTCATCATGCAAGCATGAAACGGTTCTAGAACTAAACAGAACCATTCCCCTGACTAAAGAAGCCTTGAAGAACTGGGCTGTGCAAAAGCAAAAGCAGCACATTTCCCTGGAGATACTACTGCAACTTGTCCCCCAAATCAGCGGGGAAGAAAACTGGCACTGCAGGTGGGCATGGGTATGGGCACGGGCACGAGCACATGACCACAGCTCTTACGCACGCGCGCAAAAGTGCACAAGTGTGCGCAAAATGAAAATGAAGTGAGCCTACCTTCTTTGAGGAGGCGCGAGTGGAGCAGGAGGAGCAGCGCGCAGCACAGCGCCGCTCCAGCCAAAGCCCAGGCGACCCTGAGGAGCTGCATGCTGGGGCGCAGGCAGCTCAGAGGCGGCGCTGTCCAGTGCGTCTTCTTCCCATGCAGGCGGCAAAAAGGAGGGAAGGCAAACAAGCGCAATCCGTCCGCGCGCTTCAAAAGGAATCGTGCCCGCCCGCCCACCCAGGCTCCACGCTCTCTTCAGCCACTCAGTCGCCAAACCGCTCGAGTAAAACGGGGTGCACAGATCTTGTTGCAGGACTCGACAGCATGTTTCCCTCTTGATATTCTCTCTCTCTCTCTCTCTCTCTCTCTCTCTCTCTCTCTCTGTCTGTCTCTCTCTCTCCGTGCAGTGCTGTCGTGTGGTTAGGCAGAGTGATGCACCATCGCGCCGCTGTGCTTTTTTTTTGTGCACCCAAACTCTTCACGTGCTGTTTCACGACTTCAGACCTCCAGCACTCGCTTTATTTCTTTCCCCTCCATCCAACTTTACAGCCTCACAGTCTCACAGTCTCTCCGTCCTCCGCCATCATTCACAAGCTACAAACATTCAAAAAACACACAGGTTTCCTTCCTTAGCGCGTTTCAGGCGGAGAAAGTCGCGCGCTGCTGCCGGGTGCGAGCTGCTCCTTCAAATGAAGAAGTTGAGTGCGTTTCTCCGCCTCCGTCCTCCAGCTCTTGCACCCCCCCCCACCCCGCCTCCCCTCTCTCCCTCCTCCTCCTTTTTTTCCTCAGCAGCCGCAGAAACAGACGACACTTTCTCTCCTTCGCTCCTCAGTGACGTCACGCACCCCCCTCCCCGCCAAAGCACGCTTCTCCTGAGGCGACTGCCTTGTTTTCTTTCCCACCCGTATACCGGCTGGCCACGCCCCCTACGCTTACATTGGCTACCACTTTCGTACTTACATGCCGGTTCTCTTTTTATTACTCGCTTTTTTTAACTGCTGTGTACTGAGACGTTATCTGCCCCCTAAATAACAGGGATGTCTAAGATAAATATAACGGCTTGGATGACTTCCTGGGGTGACTTCCAAGCTGTTTTATGGAGCAAAATGGAGCAACATATGGAATGGATGTGTGTTCATATCTATATCTGTTTGGATTGGTTTCCTGCCTCCTACATTTCATCTATTGACACTGTGAATTGTGGACAGATGCAGTGCAAAAAAGACTTGGTAGGTCGACTTTATCAAGAAAGATTTATTTATTTATTTATTTATTTATTTAAATGGAGACAATAAATAGAACTTAGGTGTACTTGCACCTAAAGTCAAGTCCATCAATATTTGACAAAGTAATTGTTATTTTAGCTGTCAACCATAGGAGCTGAAATTATACAACAAATATGAGCTATGCCACTAATTTCTTTTCGATCTGATACCATGTAACACTAAGGCTAATAGCCTGATACCAATACTAATCCCACTACTTTTAAAAGGGTTTTTTTTTATTTCTACAGTGAAAACCAGTAAAAAAAAAAGTGGAAATATTTGTATTAGTATTAATTAAGCTGCCATATAAACTGTCTGTTTATATGGCAGCTTAATTAATCAGTCAGAAACAGCACTAAACCATCTGCCATTATAGAACATTTTCACGATTAGCTTAATAATTATATTCAATATATTCAATTTATTATATTCAATTTATTGCTTAAAGAAAGCACCTAGAATCGATATCGTTATATGAGGGCTGATTCTCAAAAAGAAACTACAGGATCAGAAGTATTGATATTTTAGTACAAATCTGCCCATTCCTAATATGAGCTCAAGGTGCAGACGTTCAGCTTCAATTAGAGGATATTTACATCCAAATCGGGTGAATGGAGAAATAACTACAATCAATTTCATACACAGCCCCTTTTTTAGGGGATCAAAATTATTTGCACAAACTATCATAATCATAAATGAAACTGCTTAATACTTGGTTGTAAATCCTTGGTTGCAAAAATCTGGAACCTGTAGACATTACTAGATGCTGGGTTTTGACCTCTGCCAGGCCTTTACTGAAGCTGTCTTCAGTTCCTGTTTGGTCTTAGGGCGTTTTACCTTCAGCTTTGCCTTCAGTAAGTGAAATGGATGCTCAATTTGATTGAGGTCAGGCAACTGACTTGGCCATTGCAAGACATTCCAGTTCTTTTCCTTACAAAGTTTTGGGATGTTTTCACAGTATGCTTTGGATCATTGTCCATCTGCATTGTGAAGCACTGCCCAGTGACATTTCAAGCATTTGGCTGAATCTGAGCAGATAATACAGCACTGTACACTTCAGAATTCTTCCTGCTGCTTTTGTCAGCAGTCACATCAATAAATACAAAAGAACAAGTTCCTTTGACAGCCATACATGCCTACACCATAGTGCATACATAATACATACAACATACTACACAGATGAAGCAGTATGTTTTGGATCATGAGCAGTTCTTTCCCTTCTCTATGCTCTTCTCTTCCCATCATTCTGGTGCAGGTTGATCTTTGTCTCATCTGTTCGTAAGATGTTATTCCAGAATTTTACAGGCTTTTTTAGATGTTTTTTGGCAAACTCAAATCTGGTCTTCCTGTTTTTGAAGCTTACCAATGTTTTACATTCTGTGCTAAATCTCCATATTTACTCTAGTAAAGTCTTCACTTGATTGTTCACTTTGACATAAACCTCCTCAAGAGTGTTCTTGATCCAGCCTGTTGTTGTGCTCTGATGTTTTACCAGAGAAAGAATTCTTCTGTCATTCACCACGGTTCTTTTCCATAGTCTTCTAGTCTTCTTTTTTGGTGTTTCTGAGCTCACCAGTGTGTTTTTTATTTATAATAATGTATCAAAAACTGGATTTGCCCACAGTTAATGATGTTCTATATCTCTGATAGGTTTGTTTTGATTTTTCAGCCTAATGATGGCTTCTTTCACTGACAGCTACAGCACTTTGGGCTTCATGTTGAGAGTTAACAGCAACAACTCTTGAAATCAACTCTAGGCCGTTTATCTGCTTACTTGTACAAGTGAAATAATTAAGGAATAACACACACCTTGCAATGGATCAGCTGAGCAGCCAGTTTTCAAATTACTTTTGAGCCCCTAAAAATGGGAGCTTTTTGTTGTAAAATTGTATTTCCAGCACAGTCCACTCATTTTGAATGTGGTAGACAATTAAAATAACAATAACTTTGTCAACATCCAAATATTTATACGGCATACTCATCATCCACTTTCACACTTTTCGTTCTACCACTTACTGGCCTCTTTACAGAGCCCACCTCCCTTGTCCATTATATAAGCGTAAAATTACAAACAGTAGCCCATATGTTGCCATGCACAATTTGTCAGCCACCTTATGGTAAAACGTTATGGACAACTGCTTGTAAGTGTGATGTGTGACACCATGTAGCATTACATGGTAAAACTTTAATGCAACTTTAGTTGCTTGAAACCTACATGAAACTAAATTGCACTTGAGTTGTATACTGTAAACTGAATGAATCAAGGCTAGTCATTGTTCACGTTGTCACTTTTCTGAGCCATTAAAGCGAAATGTGAGTTTCTCAAAGCTAACCTTTCTGTTAACAGCCATGTTAACTTGGCAGCTAGCAGTAACAGCTGTATAAACGGGTGCTTGTGCCACTATTTATTCTTCTTTGTTAGCCTGCTGTTATCTTGATTTACATAGCTAGATTAATTTTCTTCTCTGTTGGTGCTCCCTAATTTTACCCAGAGCTCAAATTCATTTGGGATCCAAATAATGAAAATTACTACAACAGTGGAAACCAACATGTGGTCTGCAGTGAACTTGTTGTGCTTCTAGGACAGAATGAGAGAGACATCAAGTAGTCTATAACCAAAATGGCTACTTAAACATTAATTTTCAAAAAGGATTAACAAGCACTAAACAGATTAAAAACTCAAGCACATAGTAAAGAGCTCTAGAAACATAGATAGATAGATGCAAATACGTAAATGTAACTCATAAAGTGCAATTAGTTGCATGAAAGAGCAGTTCTATTGGTTCAAAATGCTTCCCAGCCATGCCTTTTCTGTACTGATGCTACAGTGTTTTGCCGATATCCCAATATTCAGTTTTGCAACATTAACCAGCTACACAAGAAAGCCCTCCATGCTGCTAAAATTATAAGACAGAAGAGTGTTAAATGTACAGTTTTGACAAATTGTATTTTGTCTTCTGGGCACTCTTTGTCTTCTACTTAATGAATACTATGGTTTTAATCATTCTTGATTACTATTCGGCATCGTAGGCTGTTTAGAATAAAAATATGTGGGTTAAGACACAGCTTATGCTGTGATTCAGCTGCGATAAGCAGTATTTGAGTGCCAGTTGAGTATGAGCTATGAGCCAATCTAAGTGCAGGAGGAAAGTGAATGAAGGCAAGTACAGGGCGAAGCTAATTGGAGGAAGTCTGTTGACATTTTCCTCCAATGGTTCTCGGTTTGTGCTTTCCTAAATCAATTATCAGACAGGCAGTATACTCTGGATTTAAGCTCTGTAATTTACTGTAATTTAGACTGTGACTAAAGTCTGTCAGTATGGTAAATGCTAACTTATGCATAACCTGAACACCTTGGTTTGCCACCCTGGTTAACATAGAATACTTCTATAATCTTTATATGCTTTTATTTAATAAGCAATATAGCTATTGTTATGCATACTTGAGTAATTGTAGGACAAATATATTCTGCCCTAAGTCAGAACAGAATGAAATAACTGTTATCTTGCGGTGGCTGACTGGTTAGGTCACCTTGCACCAATAGTGATTTGTATCAGTTATAGTCTAGGTATGAATTATCGGGGGTTTGCAGGTCTGACCCCAGAATAACACTCTAATCACCCAAATACTGTAAGACAAATGTTATGAGCACTCATAATATAACAAATAGTAAATCATCATGTTTGGAGAAAGAAGGTTTGTTCATATGATGCCAAGAACACCATATCCACAGTGAAGTATGGTGGTGGGAGCATCATGATATGGGGCTGCTTCTCTGCAAATGGTACCGGGCATTACACGTCATTCAAGGAAATGTGAATGGAGCCATGTAATGGTATATTATATGTATATGTATGTAATGTATATTAGAGGAGAATTAAATCTGATTGGCCAAGAATGGGGAGAAGATGGAAATTTCAACAAGACAACAACCCCAAAGATACAGCCAAAATAACTCAAAATTGGTTTCTTAAAAAGAAGGTG